CAATCGAGGATGACAGCCTCTTTCCCATATGTAATGGTAATGAAAAGGAAGTAATAGCCATGGTCAACACAACAACCATTCTTTATGCATACAATAAGCCTGCCCGAAGCCTAACCCTGAACTGCTTTGTCGGCGAGGTATTCAGCGTAAGAGGCGGACAGAATCCCTCGGAAAAAAATAAAGATATCGATTACTGCAGAATCGAGTCTCAGACGGAGTATCGCTACAACCTTGCAGTGAGGGCAACCTACATGGATTCGAATGGAGTGCAACAGATTTCTGATTTTTCTATTCGTGATATTTTTACCGGCTCTCTTACAAAACCAACCTTCCGAATGCCAGTACTAAGCACTTTTTCTATTGTGTTCACCAATCTTGCGACCAATGACCGCTGTACATTAGGTCTGGGTGCTCGATTCGATTCTATTTTAAATGATAATCCCGCTGAGGGTAACGAAACTGAAGTGATACCAGCACTGGTTGCTTTGCGGCCACCCACTGTCTACCCTCTAAAGGGTGTTGGAACCATTTTCGTGCTGCAATACCCCAAGAATTATGAAGAAACTAAAGCGGAGGCAAATCTGGTGAGACTTGTGAGTCCTAGCAACAGTTGTCAGGAATCTGGCCATGGGCACTATATGGAATACACTACGGATATTCCGTTTGATGATGTCCCTCCAAACCCTTTACAGAAGTATTATATGCGTAAACACCACTTCTACGAAGCTGGAAGCTACAGAATCTGTTATCAGGAAAACAACACTGCCGCAGGCTATGAGCTGGGCATTATCACGGTCTTCAGCGGCAATCCTATCTATTATATAATGATTATTGACTATAATCAAAATACTTATTCTCATGCGACATTATTGATAAAATTTCATGGCTATAACCTTGATACTAGAAAGAACAGTGACATGGCCAAGCTTGTGGATGAAAATGACTCCTGCGCTTATGGTCAGCCGGCGGGTGGAGTGCCACTCAATGTCCCGCTACTTCCCAAGGGCAATTACGGCCCCTACACCACCTATGCTTTCTGGAAAATAGTAATAACCCAAGCAGGTTCCTATAGGGTATGCTACAAGCGCCGTGGAGAAGAGTGGACTGATGTGCCCAATATAATTGCAGCTTGGCCAAGCCTTGGACCTACGCCAGACTCCACCCCCACACCATTTCCGACTCCCATTGATCCTGTCACAAATGAAGCCTGCCCGACAGCACCGACGGATGGTGAGCCTTGGATTGGCTACACCAACTTGAGGTTTACTATGAAAAAGAACAAGAATATAGGGGAGCTTACCAAGATGATCGCCAATCTCTTCTGTGTACCGCGATCAGCGTTTACGATAATTCGTATGACTCACAACGAGGCTGGACAACAAGTTGTTTATGTCGTTTTCTCATGCAGCGGGGTCACACTATACGACGGCAGGCCCGCTTGTGACAGCGTAGAGCGAAGCAATTATGCCGTAATGCTCAGTACGATCAATTCATCGTTTCTGCACGATAATGACATCGATCAAATTGTAGGCAGCACCTCCATCGCGATCTCTGGTGATGATCCTGACGTCTTGTCGCATAACAGGAGGTTTTGGTCTACGTTACTCATTTGTGTCACTGCAATTGCGTGTACGGGTATGTTTGTGTACGCGGTCTTAAAATACCGTGAACGTCGGCAGTACTTTGTACAGTTTGGTATGGATGATGACAAAATCGACGACATGTACATGCCAGCTATGATGATGACAGATACAAATGAGAACAGCCATCCTGACACCAGTCAGCGCTCCTTTCAAAGTGAAAATACAGGCGTTAATAAAAAGTATTCCGATTGAAATAAACAGTTAACGTAAAAGTACTATAGTCAGCTGAATGACATCGAAAGATCGCCTTTTGTGTTCATTGTAATGGAAAGGACAGTAATCAAAAATCTACAATTATGTGCTTATTTTTCAATTAAAAAAGGTAGTATTCGCTTTTGTCATTATTTTTCATATTTTGCGCATAACTAAAATTTTTAAAAAGGAATAAAAGTAGTACTACGTAGTTGACCACAGAACTTTCAAAATAAGAACACTTATACCATAGTGCATTCATTACAAATGTATTAATGGCTGTAGAATTTCAAATGCATCCGTTAGTTAGGATAAATCATATGTTGAAGTGAAAAAAAATCAAGTCTATAGATACCTAGTATATCTCTATTAAACAGACTCACTTTTACAGTCTCGTTATTAGTTGCATTATAGCAAAATGGTATATTCTGATGCATTGACGAAATTTCTTTTATACTAACACCTACACCCCTTTTATTATGATATTACCCCCCAAAAAAGTAAAAGGAAAAACATAAGGTAGATATGACAAAAGGCACATGAGGTGGGTAAATAATAATAAAAATGCGTCTAAACATAGTTAGACGTCCCATAAACTTGATGAAATTATCCAACAGTATATTTTTATACTATGGAGCAGTATAACTGTGGTTCTGCAACTCAAAAAAATGGCCGAAAAGGGCTCATAGAACAGAAAGCTCAAATATTGGTATAAATCTCTTAAAGATATGGATTCTTCTGTGGCATAGCCTGGTGAAATATGCCACTACTTCCATCAAGGCAAATGCATTTGTTAACGGAGAATACGTCCGTAGGACTACAAGCTGAACTACTGTTTTTGGTCTGTAACGGTGTGTTAAGCTTCAAATAAATTAGGCTTATAAGTTGTCATATTAATTCAATAAAAAAAAAAAGAATTAGACCTCTATTACTTGCGAATCCATCCAGTCTAATTGGGAAAGTTATAATTTATCGCATCGCTGTGTGTGAAAACTCATCAACCTACTGTTCTAATTCAGTAGTTTTTATACACACACGCTGTTATTTATTTGATATCCTAGATTTCTCACTATCTATATCGTTATATAGTTTATTTTAACTGGATGCAATACCCTTTTTGTTCTCCATTATGTGAACATTTGCTTAGGTGCAATTACATATAGTTGGTCCAATTATTTGCACTATTGTGACGCATTGAGTTTATCAAAATAAATAAATCACCAAATGGAATAATTCACGGTGTTTTCTACGCAACAGACCAAAACATGAATCCGAAGACTAATTAATGGATGTATACGTCGTAACCGCTTCTTTTTTTTTTTATCTCTCTAAATAAAGCATTTCTTTAGATAATTAGTCACTGGAAGTAATCAAACATAGAAATATATAATATTTAAGCAGAAAAGGTTATTAAGGATAACATTTATATTATCAACATGCTTCGGCGTACAGGGCACCGCCTCAAGGTGGCCACCAAACGGCCTCAACTTACCCTTAACAATATGTCGGGGTTTGAGCTTCTAAGTGTTCGATCCATAGATGATCTTAATCTCGTCGCCTACGCAATGCGGCACACAGCCACTGGAGCTTCCTACTACCATGTTGACATTGAAGATAATAATAACGTCTTTTGTATAGGATTTCGAACACCAGCGGAGGATAACAAAGGTACTTCACACGTTCTTGAGCACACAGTGCTCTGTGGCAGTCAAAAGTACCCAGTTCGAGATCCCTTCTTTGCCATGCTTCAACGTTCGCTCAGCAATTTCATGAACGCTATGACCGGGGCGGACTATACCTTGTACCCATTTGCCACCACGAACGTGCGGGACTTTTCCAACCTGATGGATGTTTATTTGGATGCAGTTTTTCGCCCACTGCTTCGCGAGGAAGACTTTAAGGTAGAAGGTCATCGCATTGAGATCGCTAGCGAAAATAGTGAGACAGGTGTGATTGGGGAAGATGGAGCAGCAACAAAGCAAAAAGAGTGCCACACAGATGCGTCTAGCATTGGGAAAAAACGCCTTGTGCACAACGGAGTGGTGTTCAACGAAATGCGGGGGGTGGTGTCAGAACCAAACCATCACTTTGCTCACTGCCTTATGCGCACTATGCTGCCTGAGACCCATTACACCTACATCTCCGGTGGGTATCCGCCAGACATTCTGAAACTTACTTACACAGATCTTGTATCCTTCCACAAGCGTCATTATCACCCCTCTAACAGCATAACTTTTACGTACGGCAGTCAGCACCCGGGAAAGTATATGCAGCTTCTTGACACGTACTTTTCCTTTTTTAAAGCTGCTGAACCGGTGAATATACCCACGCTGAGCGAGCACTGTCGTTTTAAGGAGCCCAAGATAGTGCGACTAGAAGGCCCTCTTGATATAATGGGGAACATCAAGCAGCAAAAGCGTATTGCTGTTTCTTACGGCGTGCCTCAAGAAGAAAACTCAATTTCCAGCGTGGTTAATCTCAGCGTACTAGACTCCTTGCTTTGCTCGGGGCCAAGCTCACCCATGTATAAGGCTATCATTGAATCTCAAATTGGAAGCAAGTACGCTCCGATGCGAGGTTACGAATATTACCTCTCCTCTCCTATATTCAGCTACGGGGTGTCTGGCGTGGATGAGGATCGACCCGGCGTGGAAGAAGAAGTTCTTCAAGCCGTCACTTCGGCCCTGGTCTCCACCAAAGACAACGGTTTTGACCCACGTCGTGTGAACTCTGTTATCTTTCAGGAAGAGCTGCAGCAACGCCATCGCTCCTCGAACTACGGGATCAATCTATGTACCAATTTGTGCGCCACAGGTCTGTGTCGCACGTATAACGATCCGTTGGACTTTATTAACTGGCTACCACATCTGAAAAAGCTGGGACAGAACAATGGTACCTCGTTGTTACCCTACATAAACTCTATTTTTTTAAATAATCCAAACCGTGCAGTCATTAGCGTATCTGCTAAGGAAAATTTTCTGGGCTCCCTCCGGAAGCAGCTGCAGGCTGAGGATGACGCTTTAAATAACAAGGCTACTGAGGATGATGTCAAATGCGTTGAGCATGGAATGGAAGAATCGTTAAAGCGACTTCGAGCACCACAGCAGAAAGAGATGTTACCTACATTGGAAATCAGTGATATTCCAAAGAAGTCGTTTTCGGAACCTTTACCGCAGACCGATGGTTCTGACGTCGCAACATCTACTATCAACTTCCCTACTAATGGGCTTGTCTACGTTCATGGACTGGTGCCCTTCTCCATGGAACTTATCAAACATATACTTGCTGGGGACCTTGATGCTATCAGCCCAAACATGCCAATTGTACACTCTCTGTTAGCGAACACTGGGACCAGAAAGCATTCATTTAAGGAACAGTCTGTCGAGATAGAGCTTGCGTGTGGAGGATTTTCCTTCACACCCATACTCAATGAGTCCTATACAACCAAAAACTCCACCATTTCAGGTGCCTCCTTTGAGTTTTATACTACTAAGGAGAAATTGAAGGAGAGTCTGCAGCTCCTTGCTGAGGCTCTTCTAGAGCCACGTACTAATTCCTTGGACCCAGAGGTCTACACATGTACCCTCTCGCGGCTTAAGATGATTTGTACTAGCATTATTCAGTCCCTCCAGAGCTCTGGAGACCGCGTCGCAGTCTCACGTGCGGTGTCGAAACTGACACAGCGCGGGGTGCTACACGAACATTGGTGGGGCCTCACTCATTCCAAACATGTCTCTGAACTCTTAAAACAGCTTCAGGGCGGGGAAGATGAAAGACGCGGTGCTGTAGAGAAACTATTAACAGAGTACAACAACATAACGGCTTCACTATGCCACTCCATGTCTTGCGCCGTTTTATGGGCAACCTGTGAGGCAAATCATCGCGTCGAGGTGGAGCAACTCCTGAATGAGTTTAGGGCAAAGTTTACTGCCTCGGATTCAGCAACCTCAAGTGGAAGCTTACCCACACGCCTCACGCTGCCCACTCTGCAGGCTCCTACGTGTGTACAAAGTCTTACTGATAAACTGCCCATTGATACTTCCTATGTGGGATTCGCGCTTCCGAACGCGCTGTCTTGGCAGCATCCTGATCAAGCTGCCCTGCGCGTAGCGTGTACTCTCCTTCAAAACAAGTACCTTCACCGGCGCGTGCGGGAGGAGGGCGGAGCCTACGGGTTGAGGGTATCTCCCACTCTACAGGGCCAAGTTGGTGGTGTCACAATGTCCAGCTACCGGGATCCTAGCCCAAATAACACAATTAAGGCTATTTCTGAAGCGGCAGATTGGATCGCGGATGTGCGAAACATCACCGCTGAGAGCTTGAGAGAAGCAAAATTGCGTCTTTTTTCATCCATTGACGCTCCATATGCAGCTGACTCATATGGTGAAGGTTATTTTTTAAATGATATTCATCAGGAGTTGAAGCAAAACATGCGCGATGCTCTCTTGCAAGTAAATGAGAAGGATATTGTGAAAATGGCTGATTTTTTCAGCCAAAATAAGCAAAAATATAGTGTCTCAAGTATACTGCAGCCAATAGAAGTGGAAGAGGTTTAAGAAGAAATGATTTAATGATCTTTTTTTATATTAACGTAAATGCTTTTTTTTCTTCCTTGGGTTAACTTATTATTGAATATTATTTCTTTTTTTCCCACAGACCCTACGAGTAGTATTGAAATGCTTCACAGAAATTTTTTCACAATGTGTCTGAATACATTTTAACTTATTATTATATTCACATATGAAAGTTTGATATGCTTATCCATTCTTATTGATAACTATGTTTCCGTGTGGTTCTTTTATTTTTTATCACCTACCCAAATATAAATGAATGGGTAAAATATCCTATTTTTTTCATCAACCCGAACACTCTTACAGGTTTTTAACCCCTCCTTTGCTTTACCCTTCTTGTATGTGTAGTTATTTTCACACACTAACTATCGTTGCTAAAGGATAAATAAAGGAGCTGTTTGTCTGCCAAAATATAACCCAGCCATCGCATCCCCTTATTATTAGTGTTTCGTATATGTATTATAGCTTATTAGAGACGGTTGCATTGCCCTCACGACTTATGTCAAAGCAGCTTACAAGGAAATTACTGCGGCATTTTCAAATTAACAGGTTAGCATCACATACACACCTTTATCTTGCTTCATTGTTGCGACAATATAATAGTTTTCAAGTTCAAATTCATAATGTAAGCCATTATCCAGGCATAAATAAACATACCAATAGGCTTCCGTCTTTGTCTCAAAACACTGGTTGCTCACACTGTATAAACATTCTGGATTTTGAACGACTTCAGCGAGAATGGAGGCGAAGCTCAATTTCATTCTTCCTTGGGTTGGTAATGGGATTACTACTAGTTGGAACCATCACTGGAAATGCTGTTGTATGGTGTCGATCTTACGAAACACCAATCTATCTAATTCCTTACTACCTCCGTGACGTCCACACCCGCTTCCACCATTATGCGTCAGTCAGGAAACGCAAAGACGGACCCTTGTACATGACTGCCGATGATTTTGTTATGGCATTGTTGGGTGCCTCGGGTAAAGAAGAAAGTAAAAAATTATCTGCGTCAGGTTTACATGATTTATTCACCAGTATAGATTCTGACTGTGATGGTTGCATTGGTTTCCACGAGTTTCGTTTCATCTTTTCACTTCTTACAAGCCGCCCACAGGATATGCGACAGCTTTTCCGAATTGTAGATAAAGAGGGTCAAGGCTCATTAAGTTCTGATCAATTTGCGAACGTGCTGCGTGGCCTTACAAAAGACGAGGCCGTCGTGCGTTCTGTGCTTTCCCCAACCAGTCGAAGAGGGGGTCTCGTCCGAAAACTCTTTGGCGAAAATGCGAAACCACGACGATGTTCCTTTCAGGAAATCAACAATATAGCACACGCCATCCGGGTCGAAGTGTGGAAGGCTGAATTTCAACAGTTTGATGTTAACCACAGGGGATTTATCACCGCGGAAGAGTTTGCAACCCTCCTAGTGAGACATGTACTTGGGTCGCATTTACCTTTGTATTTAGTGGAAAGCATTCGGAAGCAAAAAGGAGGCACCACTAACGTGTCGCTTGATGCGTGGCTTGGCATTCATGAGGTCCTACAAGCTGACGAGAATCTGGGGGAAACCCTAGAGCTACACTGCGCTTCAGGCCTCCCGGTCACACGCGCTGCCTTTTCCCGTATTCTCCGTGTTGCCGATACCCCACTCAGTGAAGATGTGCTCAATTTAGTGTTCTACATATTTGATAAAAATAATGATGGTGCTATCGAAATGGATGAATTTCTCTACATCATGAAGCAAAAGATTGGCTACCATTACCGTACCACACCTAGACATGTAAAGGGCCTTGCAGAACGCTTTGTTCAGTGCATAAAGGAGGCTGCGGACAGATGACAATGTTATAAAGGAGGCGGCTACATAATCTTTATTTTCCCTTTTTACGAATCCTGCTATATTAATTTATGGAGAATTCTAAAATACAGGTAGAAATGCTCTTTATCGTTGCTTCTTAGGGTATTTATCACCTTGATATACATATCTACGCAAATGCATCAATCTAAATTGGTCTTGAGTTGCATACTTTTCTCTTCTAATAAACCAGTGAATTTGTGAATAGACATAAAAAGGAAAAAAATCGCCTCCATACGGCCCCTCACTTTATAGATTCATTGTATCAGGTGGTAAGTTGGTATCCGCTAAAGACATAGTATAAGGTTTAATTGATTTTAGGATAATTATAATAAATAGATTTATATTTATTTACTTTTGACGTGAAAATGATGTACAGAGATCCTGCTGAGGATGAAAACTATACTGCTTTCCTCGCACAACTCGATGTACTTTTCACGCAGATCAATGCAACCGTCAATAACAAGGACCTGAGCAGTACCAGCAAAACTAAACTAATTGATGTCCGAGCAGTGGTGGATGAGTGGATCGAAGAATTGGGCAAACTCCTACCTCAAGGCTCGATGGAGACTTCGGTATCGCAGTCAGTCGTGTTGGTATCAGCAGACGGAAATGCGAGTGAAGAGATGCGTTCTGACTCCACCAATTTGGACCTTCGAAGTGATAAATCGAACACCATTATGGAGTCACTGCAGGACTGTGGTGGACCACAACAACAACATACGTCCACTGTAAATGATCTTACTCAGGACATGTTCAGGGCATCCTCAAAACAACAAACCAACAGGGTGTCGGGGAGCATCTTTAGGACCAAAACCATGGTGGATCTGATCACATTTATGCAGCTCTTGTTCACCAACGGCCTACCAGAGAGCTCAAAGTTGCGGGCTTCAGCAAAGGCCTTGGCACGGCTGGTTGTGGTACGCTGCTGTTCCACAGTTACGTCGGGGCTGCAACACGTTCTGCAACACACACACTCAATTACCTGTGTTTCGGAAAACAGCAAAATAGATTTCGCGTCAGCCTCCAAGAGCAACGACACAGACAACAGCGATCATATAGAGTGCTGTGAAATCTTCACACAACTAGCAAACAATATTCGGCTTTCCACTAGGGCGCTCAAACAATGTTTGGAGCTGGTGATTCAACACACCAGTATAAGCTCTCCAAAATATATGCGTTTTGCTATGCAGCTTTGCGTAAACGCAGCGAAGTTGATACGGCACTCAATGTTGTACTTTCAGGGTCGCCTTGAACAAGAGGGGTTGGCGCTTCTTGGTGGAGAGTTCACTGGGGCAGTTTCAGCTATCGACACTACAAACATCGATGAATGGGCTGAAATACACTGTAATAATAATAATAATGGTAGCAACAAGGATGATCTATCACACGGACCCACGAGTCTAGTGTTTGATTCGTATGTACGGCATTGCACGGAATCCCTTCGACAGCTATGGGGGCCTTCGCTTACCTACAGTATTTCCGAGATCGGTAGTGTTCTCCCGAGCATCGTGAAGTTTCTTGTAGATACATCTGCTATTAATGAACTTAAAGCAGTAGCGGAGCTCGCCGCAGTCAAATTGGATGCTCAGAGTGCTCTCTTTTCGTTGGGCAGTTCTATGCTGTTGCTGCACAAGGATAGCGGAAAACGTGATGGCCATCATCTCGGGAAAGAATTGAACAGAAACATGCAACACGTAACCGCGCAGTCCATTGAATTGCCCACCGCAAGCGATGCTGCCTACGAGAAACGCCGTACATCTTCACTTGATAACCCACTGTCTTCTAATAATTTAGCTGCTCGCTGTGTGTTACTGTGTCTGGGTATCAGCTTCCAGGCGGATTACATTACGACAATAGCGGAATGTTCTGGTGATGAGAACGACGGACACCTAGTGGCTACCAGGATTCTCAACGATGACTTGTGTGACTTGTTGAAGGAAAAGCAAAGTTGTGGTAATGTATTACTTCGGATAATACTCCAGAGAGCCAAGTGGCGGAAAGCCCTGCTTCAAGGTATCGTCAACTGCATTGTATCACAGCGGCACGTGGTACTTTATACTGGGCTGAATAGCCTACGCCTCCTTGTTACCAATCTCACCACAGAGCTTATCAAAGAAATTGGTTATATTTACTCCTACTGTGTATTTCCGTTTTTGGAATCTGGAAATAGTCCAAATCACCTCAAGAAGTGCGTTCTGTCTCATCTTATTAGTACGTTTTTGAATCCAGCAGTGGGAGGTGTCTCCATGCTGCTGCACCTCTACCGCATCTATGACCTCAATATTCATGCTCATCAACTCAATCTTGCGCATAAGTTTGTCTCAATATTGTCACAACTCGTTCGGGAAGCCTCTTGTAACGGATTCTCACACGATGCAACAGCTTACCAACACCAAGATCAACTAAATAGCCCCGGCAATACGGGCCCTCTTGACACGCAACCCTCAATCCCTCTTATGGCCCTCAATGCCTTGCTACTTGTCGTGGAGGCCCTTCGACGAGAAGCACCACAGGAAGGCGAGTACAATTCTCGTCCCCCTCACCTCCTGCAGGTACTAGATAATCGTATCGAAAAGATAGAACAACAGCGCCTTGTGGAGCGCTTTGGTGAGTCCAAGAACGCCATTCACGATTACTTTGGGGTAAAGGATGAAGAAATCAACCCACCAGACACAAATCCTATGTTTGCCAAGGAATATGACCACAAGCTACTCCCCCGTCCAACTCAAAATGTAACGCAGGAAAAAATTAAGCGTGTCGTTGACTTCCTCCAAGATATACATACGCTGCATCCGGAGACTGTGGTGGACTATCTTACTACCCCGAGCGTATTCCCCTTGCAGGTGTGCATGGTTTACATGGAACGCCTCCCGCTGGCGGGTTGTGGACTTGTAGAAGCATTACGGGTACTTTTTGCAGCGCTGCAGCTCCCCAAAGAAGGACAGCGGGTTGAGCGCATGTTAGAATTTTTTACAGCGGCATACTTTAAAGAAAACAACGTTTCGGGAATCGATCGCATGGTATTCCCATTTGCTGACGTCGAAAGCTGCTTCTTAGTCGTTGTTGCAAGTGTGATGCTAAACACCTCTCTGCACAACCCCATGGCTGGATCTCGCATGAAAAAAGACCAATTTCGTGAGCAGCTGATGAGTTGTGATGAGCTGAAGGATTGTCTGCCCACATTCTTCGACGACATCTTTCACACAATTAATCGATACCCTATTAATGGTGCGAAAAAAAACAGTTACACCATGCAAGAGAATGGGCACAGTAAGGCTAGCACACATATTGATACTTATGGAAGCTTGGACTCACTCTTTATCTCCTCGGAGGAACGCCGGATGCTGTCCTTTGAACTAGAACGCCACCATTTAGTGAACGAAATCCAGTGCCTGCTTCAGCGCAGTAGCGTGGACACCTGCAAGCCAGTATCTATGCCAGACGTAAGGTGGTCATCCCAACCGCGGTGGTGCGCCGCTGCCAGGGATCTCTACTTAAATATGTGGCCTTCAGTCTGTGTGGTTTTCGGCCCATCCATGTATGAAGGAAAATCCTCACAGGATATTATAAGCAAGTGCATTCAGGGACTAAAGTCGCTTATGTGTGTTGCAGCCAACTTTTCACTGCCAACAGAATGTGAAGTTGCCCTGTCGGCCTTACTACACATGAGCACTTACAATGCGATGCGCGATCCCTGTCGGAACGCTCTTCTGACAGTGGCCAAAACGGCTCACTCCGCAAACTTCTCTGCTCGCTCATGGTACTTGATTTTCAATCTACTCGTGGAGCTCCACCCGGTGTCAGACAGCAGCGTACTAGGACAAGTGGAAAGTGTGTTAACGCGCGTCGAAAGCTACACCCGGCGCTGGTGCGAAAAGGACCCTATGGTTAACACGCTGGACGATTTAAAAACAAACAAGCGGAAGCTTGATGAAAGCTATGGCGAGAGTATTGGTGAAACCGTTCTATATGATGATCCCGGTCTGGCAGTATATCATGTACTGGAAGGCCTCGTTAGGTGGTTGCTGGACGTTCCTGAAGGTAGTAATGTCCGTCTTGGTATTGGTCTTCGTTATCTTAAACGTGTCCTCAGCTATTCAGTGATCACACACTCCGATCAAACCACTGATGTTATACACCTCATCAATGTGCACATCCTTGCGCAGTTCGTTACACCACACCTAATAGAACTGGTGTGCCGGCATGTTGCTTCTAGTGAGTGTTTGCAAGTTATCTTTGAGTGTGTGGTGGATCTGTTGGACACCATGTGGACCTCAAACTATGTGAGTCTGCGCCGCGCAGGTACTGCAGTTACAAATAGCGTAAAAAAATCTAGCTCCAATACTGTTGAGCCCTTGCAAACAGACATCATCAGCAACGTCCCGTATCAGAATAATTTTATTACCTGCTTTAACCTATTTAAACTTTGCTTTTTGGGTGTTCGTCCATCCTGTACTTTGGTGAAGGTACATCTTCTACAGGCCACAAAAGAGCTCATGAGCCGTATTCTGCGCTTCACGGCTCTTGCTCAACCCCAGAACATCAGCAGCGATAACTATAGCAAACACACACATCCACCCCTCGAGTTTTCGGTGGTTGTGACGACCTGGTGTCAAATGCTCTATCCCCTGGTACGGTCCCTTTCGGACCGTGAGACATCAGGCACAGAAGTTGTGAGCCTTGCAGGACTGGTACTTCGACAACTTGTGGGCCTCAGGAACGAAGCAAGCAGCGCTGTCGGTATGGTCACACTGGCACCTGTGTCACCACCACCACTCGTACATATCGTCTTTTCAACCCTTCTGGCACATGCCGCGTATATAGGATGCATGTCTGCCGATCTCGATTGTGCGCAGATATGCGTAGCTCAACTCAACACAATTTGCCGTGACAACCTTGTTGCCGCCGCGACGAGCAGCCGTCACCGTTTTCTAGAGTTGCCACATGACTCCCGCGCGCTGGTGGAGGATTCGCCCGGGGGGGAGCCCTCCCCACTAAACGAGTCAGAAATGCTGCTGCGGAACATTGTTAAGCGCTTAAACAGTGATCCAGACTTTATCATGCTGCACACATTGGAACGGTTGAGCTTAGTTTTGCAGTGCGAGCGTGAACAGATCCGCACTGAGGCTGTGGAGAACCTGCGGACCCTCTCACTGCAGCTGCAGCCGAGCCAAGTGCGTGCTGTGGCCCTCCAGGTATCTGAAGTAGTTTTAGAAAGCACCCTTGGCTTTGCAATGTCGCATCATACGATTTCCCGGACGGACCCCCGCCTGGTAAGCTTCGGTATCTTTATGATGGAAATTCCGTCCACAATGAGACAGTGCTCTCGGACTGCCTTCAGGGTTACGTTGCCGAGTGTTCTTCACTTCTTGACTAAGGAGCTACTTGATATTCTTCCCGCCACGCACCTGAGTGAGGTCGCCCAGGGGATCATGGAGCGGTGCCTTGTTCCGATAGTGGTCTCGCCTCGTGTGAATTTCCCCCTTACACGTGTGGCGGCGGCCCATTCACTGACTCAGTGTGCCATGTGTTGTCTCACCCGGTATCAGCAACAGCAAATAGCTGCAGGAGAAGAATACGCAAAAGTGAGGCCCTCAAAGTATCCTTTTGTGAGTGTGTTGAATTGTATGTGTCTGGTACTTCTTTGTACACGAATGAACATCGACGGTGTAGTGCCTTCCGATGCCGAGTACGTTGGTAAGACATGGCCTCGTACCAGTAGTGGCCCTTTCACCGGAAAGGAATCCAATGAATTTGTAGACTACGTGAAAAAGGCACAACAGGCTTTGCGACTCTTGACAACAGCTGATCTACTCGACATTACCGGTAAGCCATATAGCGCCTCAGTCCCCATTATCACAAATGACAATGTGGAGAAGAAGCAGCAGGTGGCACATCCCCAAGAGGACTGTATAAAAACAGTGGGTAACGTTACGCAAGAATCCATCAGTATGGATACCACCACTACGGTAATCACGGAAAGAGAAAACGACAAAACTAAGATAGAAGAAGATAACGAAAGTGTTGGCCTACCCCTGCACCAACTGGTTCCAGAGGTGGAGCTAGTGACAGACCAGCAGCTCGTCGAATATTGCAACTTTCTGGTGCAAGTCCTTTCCGGTCTTCCAAAGATACTGGCCGATGCATTAGTGCAGCCACCATCGACCATCCGAAACCGTGACACCACACAAGAAAGGGAAGCCGAAGGCGATGGGCAGCAACAGAGAGGCGGTTGGGCGCCACCTGCTGCACCGGCCACGGTGTTTATAGAACTGCTCGTTGATTCCGCTCGGATTCTATTTGCATCGTTTTGGCGTGTTCGGCATACCCGTGAAATGCAGCTCTTTTACACGCAATATACACCCAAGGGCCGCGAGGTTCCACATGAAGCACTTAAAACAAGCATGACCTTGTTGCCTCACACACCCCTCCGAGGTGTTCTTAACAGTTATGTTGAGCTTGCCATCCTTACAGAAAGCTACCCTCTGGCAGAGATCCTTCGGATTACAGTTGATGTGCTTCGTAGTATCCCAGGTATTCAAGCCAGTAGCACCATTATACAACCTACACATAGCAACCGCCAGGTGGATTCATCCACCGCGGCCGAATGGACTCTTTTGCAGCACATGAGCCCGCAGGAGCAGCAACACGTACGTGCCTGCAGTGTTGGTATGTACCAGGAGCTCGCCATTGTTGTTTCGAATTGGGTCAAATACCTGATCCAACCACCCTCACAACTGAGTGCACGGCGACGGAAAGCCCTCCGAGAAATTTGTCTCGATACAAGGCTGATCCTATCCCTTGTCGAGCTTCTCTCACCCACCCTTGAGCCTTTCATCCCGACTGTAAAGGAGTACCTCATTTGGTATATCTCACAGGGTCAACTGTCTGCCCCAGTCCACTCGGCAACGCTAGGAAGGGAAGTGGCATCATTGATGGCGCCACCATCTGAACAGTCCGACATAGTTCATAAAGGTGAGACTACGAAAGGGGCAGAGGAACAGTAACTGCTCTTTTGATTACAGGGAGTCCGTTTTTGATATAAGTAAAATACGGTTAACGATAAGTTGATTTATTACAAGACTGGTACAACATCATTAATACATTAACAATTCAAGCAGCCATGCAAACACCCGAGCAGTCTGAACTTCTACTTTTGTTATGATTACCGTTATTATGAATTTTATGTTCTTTTCTCTATTTTCAATACCGGATAACAATGAAAAATCTTTAGTTGGTTTGGAGTATTAGTATCAAATAACTGCTGCTCCTTCAGGGCGAGGAGAGGTCTGCGTAAATTGTCTATTGCATAGGTAAAATTATTGTACTAATACCAAACACATGTTGCATGGACTCTTCATTTCTTTTTGATATGACGTTAGGTGAAATATAACTTGTTTCTGCTTCCATTTGGTAATTGGTATTTCGTGAATTGTAATGATAATGTTAAAAAAAAATATCGATGACTGTGTATAGTATCTGTTGATAAATAAATTTGACTTCTAAGAAATTAAACGCTTCCTCTTATGGTGATATTTAACTGGATAAATGGCACTGTACCCTTAAGGGAAGGCTAAATTGTATTATCATTTTGCCATTTGTACCACTTTCCACAGTAAGCTCACAATGAACGTGATACTTTACGATAAGCAAACGCCTTTTGTCTTTGCATACAAGGTCTAGGTGTGGTTTGTTGGTTTGAATATTAGTAAAAAATATTTTTCTGCCGCTATCCCCTTCTATTCACCAAAAAATAGTTGACAGAAAATAAAAGTGAACGGTGGTATTTCAAAATTAAAAGAAGAAACGAGATGCCTTTTTCAGTCAGCTATATGCTAACGGCGATCATAGTTATCACTTGGCTTATTTGCCAAATATACAGCCTCGATGATGTTGCATATTACCTTATTTTGATGCCAATGCAGCTACATGCTTGGGCAATGATTTTGTACGTCACAGTGGAGCCAAACTTGTTGATCGCGCTCTTTTCCATTGTTATTCTTCTGAAGTACGGTATTAGGTTAGAAAGGGTTATGAGGAACAGGGTGGTCTATTCAATTTATCTCATGTTATCAGCCCTTTTTACTGCATCCGCTTTGTTAGTTATTAACATAATGCTAAGCGCGATCTGCAAAAGAAACCATCGCATGTATTATGGACCTTGGCCAGTACTTGAAGCAGTTCTTATTGCTCAGTGTAATAACGATGGATTCTCAACCATTGGATTACAAAAGTCATCATATGGTGGAGTGGTGAATGACGACAAGGTATACAACCTTGACACTGGACGCAGGGAAAGTGTGCACGTCAAGTGGTCTCTTCGTGGAAACAAAATTCGTGTGCAATACCTACCGCAGTCTGTTGTACTTCTCGCTCTTATCAACGATATCACCTCCGCTATGCTGAGTGGTTGGGGCTCTGCAGTGCAAACTAATGATGATGCGACCAATGCCATCCCTCAGCACACACACGGCAGCTCCACCTTATCATCAATATGCAGTATGTGGATCATTTGGGTGTACCTGCGGTATGTACGACACCAGATAAATTTTCCCCTTGATGTATTGGTGTACCCAGTTTCGCTTCGTCGCATGGTGTGGAGGCTTGGAAACTTATGTTCACATGTCACACACTTAATCTATTCGGCCCTCTGGTCAACAACCGGTAATGATAAGATGGAAAATGTGCTGCCTACTGTTAACTATGAAAATATATCAACTGATAATCTGACTCTGCTGCCTGGCTCCACAGTTGAGGAAGCAGAGCGGCGGCGCGCCTCTGCCCTTGCAGCGCTGTCCCGCCGCCTCCAACAAATGCGTGTTAGCTCAAATGAGATAAATGATGTGTTATGAGATAAAAAATGTGAACAACTTTACAGAGGCATGTTTAGCGATGTAGGCACTTGCCTCTCCGACTCCCTGTGAGTGGATACGGTTGTAACAATGCGCGCTATCAGTCGGATAAATGGTATAGCGTCATGGGAAAGATATAACGACGTTGTATGTGAGAGTATTGGGGAGCTCAACCAGAGGAAAAGGAGATAAATGGTATTGGTATACCTAATTTTACATCAAAGTGATGTTATCATGTGCATCCTTGTACTCATATTTTCTGGATGAGAGTACGTGTTGCAACATATTACCGAACTAAGAAACTGAAACAGAGGTAGGAGTATGGTTGCCTTTCTTTTTCTATTCTGTTCCTGCACATAAGAGGGCAGTGTCTGCTTAAAGTAATTGACACAAGTAAACTAATGGCAATTTCGTACCACTGGTTATTAGGGCAAATGTTGTTCATTGTTTCACTCTGTAGCATCAAGTAAATAGGGAAAGTGGCATCACGTTAATAATTAGATATTGTAGAACACTACAAAGTTAGCCTCGGGACGACAGCATCTGCTTAGACATCAACCCTTCTCAATATGAACAACAAGATGACTCAGTGATACGCCACCGAGTAAGTTTCAAAAGGAATCGGCAGCACTTTAGGAAACTCCTTGGGATGCTACCAGCTGTGGAGCTCCATGTCGATGTTGAATAAATAGGGTTACGGCACAACATTATCGGACTCCTGTCGCAGATGTGCAAATGCCTCTGTGGTTGAAGACGGGTGGAATACCAAGTTCGCTGCACAACTCTATAAGGAGGAGAGTAAATCTGCATATCTTGGATTAACTGTGAATAAGGAGTGATCCCCATCACTATGTGACGTGTATCACCATAAAGCTTGTCGTGTTACTATACATATTCGTCCTCGTTGATAGGATCTTGGACTTTCTCAGACAAGGCGCGTTACTGTGCGTGTGCGTCTATCATTACTGATCAAGGTTCCTGTATTGGCCCTTTTGTATTTTTATTTATCAACAACACGAGCCAAGCTATCTTACACCATTGAAAGGAGATAGTGAAGGGGCTGCAGCGCAACGAAACGCCTCCTCCAATCAGACACATGTGTGTTTGGGAACTCTCTTATTGAAACAGAGATTAGCGTTCCCGCATAATTAAGCAAATTAGAACAGAATCGGACTAATGTCTCACTGTTCCGTTTTTGTATTCGGTTTTGCTCTTCACACGATTTTGTTCTTGCTTCGCATGGCTACCCCTAATATTAATGTTACTTTCATTGCAAGATGTATGGTTACTCTGGCTATTGGTGACAATTTGAACGAAATAGAAAACGTAATTTCTGAAGAAGCACATCATTGAGATGCTACACACACTATTTGTTCCAATGATGCCGATACAACGCTTCAAAACCCATGTGTGTGCCTTAATGCCTATGAACGGTGTAACCAACGATATTTTTTTCGAACGGGATTACTACGTCAAACTCACATTAGACTTGCATTATAACCGTATATTTATGGAAACTCCTAAAGCGGAAACACTGATCACGATACCGGGTACTGACTCCGAAAACACTAGAAATCGTCTGTTAGGCCTCTGTGTAAACTTTCTGCATTGCATATTTATCGTTTCTAATCAAAGGAGATGTGGACTATATCAGGGAAATAATTTGACCCAGATGTAGTCAGGACATGAAAATTGTGAACCCCGAGCGATGGTCTCAGGCTCAAAAACGCGAAGCACATCGATTTGGATAACCCACCTGCGCGATGTTGCTTTCCTGGAGCCGTGAACATGCTGGTGTGGTCTTAATCCTGTATCCACTACTCATGTCAGTTCTGCTGTCTCTCGCATAGCGGCCTGGGATAAATTATTTAATCACCCCCATGTGGCAGTAAGAAATAAAATAATCACGCTGTTGTACCGCTTCCCCTTATCATGTGCTTGCTTCTAGATGTTGATAACTTTGATTATCTTAACAAAATAAACAAAAGGGTATGTGAACACCCAATGTCTCTAGAACATAGATTTGGATTACACTTGG